CTTGTGATCGAGCTGCGTGCGGCCATAGACGTTGCGTGCCGTTCTGCCTGCATGCTGGCTTTGAGAGTGTGCCACATTCAACGCCCCCAATGAAGGCTCGGGCGTATGATGCAACACCAGTGTACGCAGCCAAGCCACACTCATGTGCCGCCATGCGCTGACAGTGATGCTGGTTCCAAGAAACCGCTTGGTCACGGCCTGGATGGTTCGGTAGACTTGGCCTGGCCGAAGCTGTTTTTCGAGCTGCATTGGCGCAATGTTGAACAGCAGCTCATACGTGCCCTCCTGTGCGACACGCTTGGCCGCTCGTAGATCGTCGTGCTGGTCGTCAACAGAGCCAACAGTGTCTGGCTCGATTAAATCTTCGACCTCCATCGCGTCGGCCTCGAGCTCATCTTGCTCTTCTTCCGTCAGGGAATTGGGATCTATTGCCTCAGACGTGATCAATTCGTCTCGATCTTGCAAGTAATCAGCAAACAGCTCCTCCAGCGGCTTGCACAATAGCAGGTACGCCATCATGACCGCACTGGCCCGCTTGTCCATGTAGTGTGCAGCATGCGACTCGCGGTTGCTGATCCATGTGGTTTTGCCTCGTCGCGCGACAAACGCCAAGCGGTCTCCGGAGAAGAAGACATTTCTGGGGCTGGCGGAGGAGTCGCGATAGAAAAGGCTCGTGTATACCATCGCACGCACGGGGAGACCTATGCACAGATGTATGGTGAAACTCTGCGTTGTGTACAGTAATATGTTCGTACGCCCAGACTACCAGACGTACCAGTTGAGAGGTGTGCATACGTCAATGCCAGGCGATTAAACTCTCGCAGGGAGCAAATCCAGCGCCACACTGGTTCTATGCTAAACTTGCCGGGTGCATCAGGCATGGTAAACTCCTCGACTAGCTCTGGAGTTTCCAAGATGTGCTCCAGCAACATTGTATAAAAGTCATGACCGTCGATGTCCTTCAAATCCCGGCCGACCCAGGACTGAGGGGGCCCGGGCTGATTCGAGTCCAGCAACAAGGGCAGGACAGCATAAACTCGCTTCTCGAGGCCCGAATTAAAAAGTAGCTCCTTGGTGAGAATTTCGTCCATTCTGGCTCGCATAGCTCGCAAACCGGTCCCAAGGTCATCCACGTTCATACGAATGCCATTTGCTGTCAGAGTCCGAAACTCCTGTCCAGGGGCTGGCCGC